CTACCAGTAGCGTCCTTGCTCCTAGTAGCGATGCCAGGAGCCCCTAGTAGCTTCTTGTTCCTAATAGTTTCTTGCTCCTAGTAGTAAATCCAGGAGCTACCAGTAGCGTCCTTTGCCCCCAGTAGCGATGCCAGGAGCCCCTAGTAGCTTCTTGTTCCTAATAGCTTCTTGCTCCTGGCCAGGAGCTACCAGTAGCGTCCTTGCTCCTAGCAGCGATGCCAGGAGCCCCTGGTAGCTTCTGGTTCCTAATAGCTTCTTGCTCCTAGTGGCAACGGCAGGAGCTACTTCCTTGCTCCTAGTAGCGATGCCAGGAGCCCCTAGTAGCTAGCAGCTACCAGTAGCGTCCTTGCTCCTAATAGCGATGCCAGAAGCCCCTATGTAGTAGCTTCTTGTTCCTAATAGCTTCTTGCTCCCAGTAGCAATGATAATGCCAGGAGCTACCAGTAGTGTCTCGTAGTAGCGATGCCAGGAGCCCCTAGTAGCCTAGTAGCTTCTTGATCCTAATAGCTTCTTGCTCCTAGTAGCGATGCCAGGAGCCCCTAATAGCTTCTTGCTCCTCGTAGTAAGGCCAAGTGCCCCTAGTAGCGTCCTTGCTCCTAGTAGCGATGCCAGGACCTCCTTGCAGTTTCTTGTTCCTAATAGCTTCTTGCTCCTAGTAGCGATGCCAGGAGCCCCTAGCAGCTTCCTGTTCCTACTAGCTTCTTGCTCCGAGTAGTATTGCCAGGAGCTACCAATAGCGTCCTTGCTCCTAGTAGCGATGCCAGGAGCCCCTAGTAGCTTCAACTTGTTCCTACTAGCTTCTTGCTCCTAGTAGTAATGCCAGGAGCTACTAGTAGCATCCTTGCTCCTAGTAGCGGTGCCTTGCTCCCAGTAGCTTCTTGCTCTTTGTGGGCCCGTGTTTGATTACTACATATTACATATATTACTGTACTACAGGTGTCGTGCGGGTCAAATGAGTTTAGCAGCTAAGGTTCATGCGGATCTTGTTGGTCTTTCAGCGCAACCGAGACGGTTGAGTCTCAGTATGCAATTTCATCGGGCCACCTGCTGACTTTGGCCCCACAAACATACGTGAACTGTGTGAAGAACCCACATGACTGTGGCGGAACAGGTGGTTGCGAAGGCGCTACTATGGAGTTGGCCTTCAACCTCACAGTGACAAAAGGCATTGCGCTTGAAAGCGACTTGCCTTACAAAGGGAGGGATGAGACGTGCAAGGCCTACAAGCCTGCGGTGAAGGCCAGTGGTTATGTCAGGCTTCCTGTGAATGATGCCAGTGCACTTGAAGAAGCGCTTGCAAGCAAGGGCCCTGTCTCTGTGACAGTTGCCGCGGGATCTTGGCAACTGTATGGTGGTGGCATTTTCACAGGATGCAGCAAACATTCGACGGCAATCCTGGACCATGGTGTGCAAGCGGTGGGCTATACAAAAGACAGCTGGATCGTTCGAAACAGTTGGGGAGAATCTTGGGGTGAAAAGGGCTACATCAGGCTCTCAAGGGCAAGCGACTCCAAAACCTTCCTGGACACACGACCGGCAGATGGAGAAGCCTGCAAGCCATACCCAAAGACTCAAACAGTTGGAGGTGAATGTGGTGTGCTCTTCGACTCTTCTCTTCCTGTCGGAGTAAGCGCAGCCTTTGATGAAGTTGTGGTTTGATGCCAACCAATTCTCAGTCGCAACTGGAAAGAGTGTGCCAAGGCGTATGTCATTTCGCATCCTGTGGGAGTGAAATGCCAACTGTTTGTCACATTGTGCAATGATATACATGTAATTACTATCCCAAGAATGTGAACATTATTATTGACTGCAGCCATTTCAACAATGTTGAACATATTGCTGACACCTCTTCACTGAAACTAGCAGACAGCCTCTCCCAACATAGTAGTAGACCTTGCCAGAGAGAGCATAGACAATCTCATATCACACTATCACATCAAAAACGATCAAACATGCCAATAGTTCTGCCATTCTTGTTTGTGGTGTAGGGGTTGGAAGCGAAAGGCAGAGGGAGCCTCCCTGTAGCACGCTTCTCCGGAGCTTCTTACTCGATGCAATGGAATCAGCGGTTGCTTGGCAGACCATGTGGGTCCAATTGGTCCAAGTGAACTGTCGACCTGCTTGCCAACTGAGGAACAGCTCCTCTCAAAAGCTGCAGGTGCAGTTGGGACCTATGATTTGGTATAGGTTTTGAACACGTGGCTTGTGAAGAGATTCATCTTGGTTTTGCTGACTGTTAGATGCACAAAGGTCAGGGGCATCGTGAATGCCGCCGAAGGCGGCTTTCAGCTCCTAGCACAAGTAGTGGAGGAGCTCATGGATTGCATTGTTTTCACACACACACATATATATATATATACATAAAACTACACATATAGATATACACATTTTTCAACTTTCTCATGCAGTTTGTCAACCTAGGCTCATTCTTGCATTCTAATCAAATCTCATTTAGGCGAGTAGAGCATGCCGGTGCAGGAAG